TTAGTCAGTAAAGAACACCAGTTGTTTCATTTCCATATAGGACTGAGACTGAGAGATGAAGCTCAGTTGAGTCAAATTTCTTGACTGAGCTATTTTTTTTTTTCATTATGGAGGGTTTATAGGGCTGAGGCACTGTGGTCAGTAAGTCCTGACTTGAAATTTCAACAGGAGAGTAAACTTGGAAGGAGTTAAGTCCCTGATGAGAGCCCTATATAGATACATACACAAGCTTCTTCCTCTTAGGAGTAAGTACATAAAATCACAATTTGACAGCAGGAAGTGACTCTAGAAATAATCTAATCAAAGGCCTCCAATTTCACAGATGGGAGATCCGGGGCCAAGAGAGGCCAGGTTACTTGCTCAAGGACAGAAAATATATTTCTGTTTTTAGGCTGACCACTCAGCCCTGTACATTCTTACAAATGGTTAATGGTTAGTGGATTTCCTGATATCTGAGATGTTTTGAGGTAGCATAAATGAAGGCTCAGATGACAGTGGTTTGCACTAAATTAAAGGTAGTCATGATCTGGAGGCCAGGAGTATCTATCGTGGCAGGTTAGGAAATCAGACTATTTTTTTTCCAGGAATGGGCATTAAAAGGAAGTCCAGTCAGGCCAGGAGCCAGTAAGTGATGGGTGGTCTGGCATTAGACAATAAGCAGAGCTCATGAGACTCTTGGGACCATTAGCAGCAGACAATAACTAGAGGTCAAGGAGGTGGGAAGTTGGCATCCTGGGATGGTCATCCATTATCAGATAAGGACTAAGACAGAGGATTGTTTATTCAGGGACAGGATTCTAGCTAAGACAGAGACCATGAATTGTGGCAGAGAAACACATGCTGCCATAGAACAATATAAAGACACAAGTATGGTGGGGAGAGAAGGAGAAAAAAAAAACCAGGAAACCATAGGCTGGTTTCTAGCCTATGGAATCCTTGGAATCTCCCCTTAGTATAGAATTAGCCTGAGTCCAGGGTGAGGCTCCACCTAATGATATAGTTTATAGCCCCCAGTCATTACATCATCAAATAGAAGCTTTCCTTTTATTATTCCTGAAAGTTCATGTTTTCTCCTAACAGGTTACCCCTAAATCAGATCATTTTGAACCCCCATAGGTCTGGACTTGCTCCCACAGGGCCTAATTCTTAGTGAAGAAAGCAATCTTTTCATCCACTCAGAACTAATTACTGTCTATGCTTACCACCAGCAGAAACCTCAGTATTCCTAGGTTTGTCTGAGTTTTCATTAGTATACTTCAAATGAGGACAACGAACATCAAATCAAGGGATTGGCTTTAATCATTTCTAAGACACAGCCCTGGAGCTTGTAAATCTACGCTTGGGTGTAGAGAAATATCCCTTTGGTTATTTACTTCATTGCTATTGTCTCACGGGGAAGAAATGATTTGAGAAAAATGAGGTATTAGGATGTTAATTAGACAACCCCAGTAGTAAGTAGCAAAGATAGATAGATCTAACTATACCTCCTGAGTTCAAATACAGGCACAATCTCAAAGTATTGCCCTTTGACATCTCTTCCTTCTCCTTCCTTTTTGACTAAATAGACATGCTCTGATCCACCAGCGTTAAGATAAAAACAAAACAAAACAACAAACCTTCAATGAATAACACAGCCCCGTCTACGTGCCTCGCTATTTTTTTCAACCCTTTATTCACTGACTAAATTTTTAATGATGCAATTTATGTCCTGTAATTTTGCATTAATTTCCATAATCCTGCTGGCACTACTTTTTCAAAAGTCGCAAAATAATAAACTGTTGCATAATCTGAGCCCTTTGACAATTGCTGTTGGTGTATATGTACCTTACACAAAGGATGTGACATAAATCCCCACTTCTCCCCAGGCTCTTCCTCTTCCTAATCTAAAGTTAGCTTGCTCACCTCACTTATTCCCACACTGGCAGGTTGGGGCTGACTACTACTCGCTCTTTGAAGTAACCTTAATATGGAAGGAGACATACATGTAATACAGCAATAGCCCCTAAACCCTACTTATATGCTTCTTACACAAATTAATCACAATGATACCATTAATTCTTAAGCATGAGACGTGTATTAACCAAGAAAACAAAATCAATTATTAATATGGCCTTATTTTGTGAATAAAAGGCAAAAGTAGGAATAAGCAAAACAAGATTTTCTACACTTATGAATCTTGGTCACATGCTCCCATCAATGAACAGTTTCTAAAAGAGAGAAAGTATGCAAAAACTTACAAAATCTTAGAAGTAAGCCAAATGAGAAGGTAATGTGCAAGGGGCAACTCGTGACTCTTTAGCACAGGCCCAGTTGTCTGTGGTCGCTTTAGAAAACACATATTATCTCCTATTCAGAACCATTCTTCTTCAGAGCCTCTATGCTCTCCTTCTCTGCCATCCTTAGGCTACTGAAAAAGTGTTAACCTCTTTTAGACAACAGTAGCCATAAAATGGGAGCTGTGGAGCTTCCCGCATGTGTTCCCTTAGCTAGGTGTAGAAACAGCATGACATTTTATTTTCAGTAAAAAACCAATTCCCTTTAAGTCTGGGATCTGCCCCTATTCAGATCTGTCTTCCTTGGCATTCCCGTCTCAAAACATAGGTGGCAGTAAAGGGAAATGTATGCAAGACTCTGAGGGGTTTCCACTCTAGTATTATAGCGGGTGCTAGAGAGCAAGGCAACCTTTTCCAACAGGCTGTTCGCACAGCATCTGATGCTGCTTTCTCTAATCAGCTTTCAGCACCAAGCTTTCCTCTAACAAGATCATTTTCTTGCAGTAATTACAGCACCTGTCTGTCTCAATTCAGCTAGTCTTCCTCAACTCCACTAGCCCCTCAATTTCAACAGTATTTTTTTCCTTCTCGTTTTCTCCTTCTGTAATGGGTTTCTCTCCTCAGCTTCTGTGAGCCCAAGTCTCGACTGACTTCTAATGAACTATAAAACATCAAATCAGGGCTCCTTTGTGTTGTGAATTGCCCCTATCTTGGGTTAATAAACTCAAAATCTTCACCTCTGTCAGATATGACTCAAAGTCCTTAATAAACTGTAGTTCCATCATCCCCAAAGAGTTATTTAATATAGAGTTCTTTAGCAATAAACTTTCCAGTCTTAAAAATAGTCATATATAAATTAGCTACTGGGAAGCCATTTTTACAATCAGTCTATTTTTGTCTCTTAGGGACATACTTTACTCAGCCTTTCTTCAGAACTTTATGTATCTCTTCTTAAGAATTTTTATGTGAGGGCTTGTTTTTCTCATAATATTATTATATCTGCATAGCACAGGTCCCCTCATTAAAGTAATAACCATCAAAGGAATGGTCAAATGAATCTAAATAATGTAAAATGTGTTTATAATTAAATTATATTATTTAATATTTCAATGAATCTGTAATCTTCCTGATGGAGAGTTGAATCATCTATTTCCCCATTTCCACCATTTCCACTAAGCATCTACTCTCTTCTCATGGCAAAATAAAAAGGGAGAGGAAAATTGCAAAGACAGCCAGAGATGGAGATCTTGATGCCAAGACCACTGGAAAGGATCCTAGCTAGTATCCTCCTGGAATTCACTGTCTTTTTCGCCTTCTTTTAATGTTCCCAAAGGTGGCAAATTTTTATCATGTGAATGCAAATTTAATTTTGAAAATAATAGAAGCTGGTTTGTGAATAAATTGAATGATCATGGAAAGTAATAATATCTTAAGTAAAAAAAAAGAGAGAAGGGCTAGAGCAGGGGTGGGGAATCTATGGCCTCAAGGCCAAATGTGGCTTTCTAGGTCTTTGGGTGTGGCCTTTTGACTGAGTCCACGTTTTACAGAACAAATTCTTTTATTAAAGGGATTTGTTCAATGAAGTTTGGATTCAGCCAATGGGCCACACTTGAGGACCTAGAGGGCCACATGTGGTCTTGAAGGCACAGGTTCCCCACCCTTGGGCTAGAGATTATTGAAAATCCTTTTTATATGCGGCTCACAAACTAGACATGAAGCAGTTCCCAAAGAGGAATTCCAAAAATGTCATGTGTATTGGCAATATCAGTAACATAATTTTTTTCCAAAAAAATAATTATTTCAAAAGACCTTGGTCATTTGGAAAAATCCAGAGAGGTTTGTTTACAAAAAACCATAATTTCATCTTGTATAAATCAGCAAAGACTGCTAGAAGATTGCTGTTTGAGAGATTGCAAATGGAGATGAGCAGTTAGAGAATGGAATTTGAACAGAGGTTCCCAAACTTATTTGGCCTAGTGTCCCCTTTAAAAAAAATTACTGAGCACCTCCCCTGGAAATCTACTTTCTTTAACACTTCAACAGTATTTTTTTTGAAATTTGCATCATTTCAAAAAATAATTTTAAAAAATGATACATCTTAAAAGTTTAATAATTTATTATAAATTTGTGGGTTTTTCCTGTATTGAAATTTTGGTGATACAATATTGCATCATGTAGCCACGTAGTATCATATTGTAAACAAGTCATTATATGTACACATTCCTGCCGATATGTGCTGGACTTCTGGATGATGTGCCACACACTCACCTGCCAACGCTTGCTTGTTAAGACCTGTAAGTCTTAAGTTAGGACTTGACCGCTGATGGGTTATAACTCGCATTTTGTGTGTTTATTTGAAAATGATGTAATCACTATGACTTTAACTCTGTTACACAATAGATAAAACATGTACAAATGGTTTTTCAAAATTTTCTTCTCTTTTCTTCTTTCCTTATGCTTCCACTGCCCCATTATTTTTATTCAACGTCCCTCAATTGCACCTGAGGATACTACTGCCCCCCTCAGATCATTCCAGTGTCCCACACCTCTCCCCTTGCCAGTGGGGCAGAATTGCTCACTTTAGGAACCTCTGAAAGAGGAAGGAGAATGTATATAATGACTGTAAAAAGGGACTAGAAGAGAAGTAATAGATCAATGAAATCTTTGAAGGTCCTCTCCTATTTAGTAATGTGATTTTGTTTCCAGGAAATTAATTCTTGAAAACGATCATTTATTTGAGTTAAAGATCTTTCTGACCATGTACTTAAAGGCTTGTTTCACTTGCTGATTCCTCAGGGTATAAATGAAGGGGTCCAGCATGGGAGCAACAGAGGTATTCAGCACTGCTACCCCTTTGGTCATAGCTACTCCTTCCTTAGCTGAGGGTTTGACATACATGAAGATGCAGCTTCCATAAGAAATGGAAACAACAATCATGTGGGAGGAACAAGTGGAAAAGGCCTTTTTCCTTTGCTGGGCAGAGGGGATTCCCAGAATGGTTCTAAGGATATATGCATAGGACAAAATCACTAATGCCAAAGTGACCAAGAGTGTGAATACAGCTAAGCAAAAACTCATGACTTCTAAGAACTTAGTGTCTGTGCAAGAGATCATGAGGACAGGAGAAGAGTCACAAGCAAAATGATCAATGACATTAGAGTCACAGAACTCCAGCTGGAGGCCCATGATGACTGGCGGAAAGATAATGAGGAAACCTGCCAGCCAAGAGCTGATTAGAAGTTGGTTGCAGACTTTGCTGTTCATAATAGTCGTGTAGTGTAGGGGTTTGCAGATGGCCACGTAGCGGTCATAGGACATGGCGGCCAGCAGAAAAAATTCCGTGGTACCCAGAAGGATGAAAAAAAATAACTGAGCTGCACAAAAATTATAGGAAATTGTCCTGTCACCAGTTAAAATAGTGATCAGGAATCTTGGAATGGAAACAGATGTAAAGGAGATTTCTAAAAAGGAGAAATTTCTGAGAAAGAAGTACATGGGGGTCTTGAGGTGAGAGTCCAACAAGGTGAGGATAATGATGGTCAAATTGCCAGTTACACTCAATACATAGGTAAAAAACAGAAAGAGGAAAATCAAGACCTGTAGGTCTGGGTCATCTGTCAGTCCCAGGAGGATGAACTCTGTCACTGATGTCTTATTTTTCATTGCTGACTCTAGACTTCTGCCAAACCTATGCATAAAAGCAACAGAAAAAGACTAATTTTATTTGTAATTCAAGAATCTTTTTCATTGCACCTCTGTTCTGTAGACTATTATGCAAGTAACAAAGAAGAAATTGCTCAAATGTTAGCTCAAGAGATGCATAGCCATACTTCCAAGCAAATCTTAGGCAATTTTCCTCAGGAACAGCCTTCTGAAATGGCTCATTCTATTTGCATTTGAAATGTGACTCTTGTCATTTCAAACTAGATGTCTCTTAGACATTTTATACTAAAGGTGTCCAAGACTGAACTCATTATCTCACTCTCCTGCCCCAAACCTTTCCTTTTCTGACTTCCCTACTATTATGGAGAGTTTCAAGGGTTCCACCATCTCCTAGCTATCTAGGCTCACAACTTAAGTGTCATCCTCAACTCCCACTCTCACCGCCATATGCAATCAGTTGCCAAGTCTACTTTTGTAGCATCTCTCATCTATGCCTCCATCTCTTCTCTGACACAGCCACTGTTCTGGTGTACGTCTTCATCACTTCATGACTGGAACTATCGCATACCCTGCCGAAGGCCTCAAGTCCTTCCTATCTCCAGAACAAATGGATCTTCCTAAAAGAACAAATCTTACCATGTCACTTCTCTATTCAATCAACTGCAGGAGCTCTCTATTGCCTCCAGGATCAATATAAAATCATCTACTCAGCTTTTAAAGCTCTTCATAACCTAGTTCCTCCTTATTCTTCCTATCATTTTACCTTCTAGTCCCTTCCATGCAAACTGTGATCTAGGAACATTGTGCTTCTTTTTTTTTTCTTGAACAAGACACTAAACTTCCTGACTGAGCATTTTTACTGGCTGCCCCCCAATGCCTGGAACTCCCTCCCTTCTTATCTCTTCCTTTTTAGCTTCCTTCAAGTCTAACATAAAGTACCACTTTCTGTAAGATGCCTTCCATATTCTTTAATCTTAATGCCTTCCCTGAGATTATTTCCAATTTATCCCATATATGCAATTTGTATGCAGTTTTTATGTGTCTTTTCCATTAAGAAGCAGGGACTTTTTAGGTTTTTTTGTTTGTTTGTTTGTTTGTTTTGTTTTGTTTTGTTATATCCCTAGTGCTTGGTACTGTTCTCAGAACATAATAGGCAGTTAATAAATGCTTGTAGATTGACTGACAGAAAAATATCTTAATCAAATGAATGTGAGGCAGACATTCAGAAAGTTTTGAAGAGGTGTGGAGCTAAGATGGCAGAGAAAAGGCAAGGACTCTTTTGAGTTCTTTCAATTTCCCCCACAAACACTTTAAAATAATGTCTCAAAATGAATTCTGGAGCAGGAGAATGAACAAAAGGTGGGATGATGCAATGTTCCAGCTAGGACAATTTAGAAGGTTGCTAGCAAAGGTTGTTACCACCAGGGTAAAAGTAGAGTGCAGTTCAGTTTAGTCAGCACAAGGGCAAGAGAGAAGCAGATCATAGACCTTGAGGCCAACTGAATCACTAGCAGTGGCTTCCTGAGGTGAGCCTACAGATGATAATGGGTTGGACAAATGGTCAGAGGGAGGTTACAGGGATCCTTTGCTGGCACTGGGTGCAGGACTCTGTTGTATTGACCGTACACAGATCCAGGTCACAGTCCTAGATCACAGCCACAAGGTAAGGAGGAGCTCTAGCACACCAGAGCTTGTAAGCTAGGAGCAGGGATCCTTGCCACAGTACCAGGACAGAATAGAGTGCTTGTAGTCACTCACAGACCAGGACAGGCTAAGGCAATAGTAAGCATACCTCTCCTAGAGCATACCAACCTTGGAAGAACTGAAAACTTACAGAACCACAGAACTAGCTTTAGAAACAGCTACATGGAAAAACCTGAACTTAGGACAGTGCCCCTACCACCTCAGGAGCAGAGCCTAACTTTAACATACAATTAAAAGTCAAGAAATAGAGTGGAAAAATCACCAGGCAACAACAACAACAACACAAAAAGAACCTGGCATACAAAGCTACTATGGTGACAGAGAAGATCAAAACAAAAACTCAGAAGAAATAACAAAATCAAAACTGTCACATACAAAGCCTCAAAGGAAAATATGAATTGGTCTAAGACCCCCAAAAAAGTCCTAGAAGAGCTCAAAAAGGATTTTAAAAATCAAATAAGAAAAGTAGAGAAAAATTGAAAAATAAAAGAGTAATGCAAGATAATCATTAAAAAAAGAGTCAATAGCTTTGTAAAGGAGGTACAAAATACTGAATAAGATAACATCTTTTTTAAGACATGTGAAGGGAATTATGATTTTCATTAATTGATATGATAAATGTAAATGATATGATACGTGCAATGAATATACTAATAATTTAGATTTGTCAGAGCTACCTCTTCTGGCTTGGAAGTCAGAAGCTTACAATACAGCTTGAAATGATCATTAAACTGCTACTTGATTACTGACACTTTATCTCTAGCCTACTCTGTTTCATCATTCCCAAATTAGAGACTGGCTCAAAATTCTGTTAGCAGATGTTAAGAATAGGCCAAATAGTAAAAAAGGCCCAAAAATCTACTGAAGAGAATTCCTTAAAAGCACAATTGGCCAAATGGAAAAGAAGGTACAAAAGCTTACTGAAGATAATAATTCCTTAAAAATTATAATTGGGCAAGTGGAAGCTAATGACTCAATGAGCATCAAGAAACAAAAAAAAAAACCAATAAAATAAAATCAAAATAATGACAACTAGAAGAAAATGTGAAATATTCCATTGGAAATCAACTGACCTGGAAAATAGACTGAGGAAGATAATTTAAGAATTATTGGACTACCTGAAAGCCATGATAAAAAAAGAGCCTATATATCATCTTTCAAGAAATTATCAAAGAAAACTGCCTTGATATCCTATAACCAGAGGGTAAAATAGAAATTGAAAGAATCCATCAATCACCTCCTGAAAGAAATCCCAAAATGAAAACTTTGAGGAATCCAAATTCCAGAGCTCCCAGGTCAAGAAAATATTGCAACCATCCAGAAAGAAACAATCCAAATATTATGGAATCACAGTTAGGATAACACAAGATTTAGCAGCTACTATATTAAAGAATTTGAGGGCTTGCAATATGTTATTCTGGATGGCAAAGGAGGTAGGATTACAACTGAGAATCACTTACCCAGCAAAGCTGAGTATTCCTTCAAGGGAAAAATGGATATTTAAGGAAATAGAAGACTTTTAAGCATTCCTGATGAAAAAACTAGAACTAAATAGAAAATTTGACTTTCAAATACAAGGCTAAGAGAAAAGACAAGCTGGAAAGATAAATCATAAGGAATCAGTAAGGTTAAACTATTTACATTCCTACACAAGAAGATGATACTTGTAATTCCTAAGAACTTTATCATTTTTAGGGCAGTTACAAAGAGTATGCATAGACAGAGTGCATGGGTGTAAACTGACTATCATGGGATGATATCTAAAAAATAAAATAAAATTAAGAGGAAGGCACTGGAAGAAGGAGAAGAGAGAGGTACAATGGGATAAATTATTGTACATAAAAGAGGTGAAAAAAAGTTTTTACATTGGAAGGGAAGTTGGGAATCTGGGAAAGAGTGCTTGAACCTTACCCTCATCAGAATTGGCTCAAGAAGAAATAAAATACAGACTCAGTTGGGTATAAAATCTATCTAAGAAAGTAGTAGGGAAAAAGAATAAAAAAAGGTGGAGACTGATGGAAGGGAGAACAGATTGGAGGAGGTTATAGTCAGAAGCAAAACACCTTTGAGGATTGACAGGATGAAAGAAGAGAGAAAGAAAGATAATGGGGGGGTGGAATAGGATGGAGGGAAATACACAGTAATCATAACTGCAAAAATATTTTAATAGCATTTCTCTGAGAAGGCTTCATTTCTCAAATATATAAAGAACTGAGTCAAATTTATAAGAACACAAATCATTCCCCAATTGATGAATGATCAAAGCATATGAACATATTGTTTCAGATGAAATAATAAAACCTATCTGTAATCACATGCAAATCTAAATCACTATTGATTAGAGAAATGCAAATGAAAATGACTCTGAAGTACACCCCACACTTATCAGATTGTCCAATACAACAGAAAAGGAAAATGACAAATGTTGGAGGGAATATGAGAAAATTGAGACACTAATACATTCTTAGTGGAGTTGTGAACTGATTCAACCATTCTGAAACTATGCCTATAGAGCTATAAAACCATGCATATCCTTTGCCCAACAATACCACCGCTAGATTGTATCCTAAAGAGATTAAAAAAAAAACTAAAAGGAAAAGGACCTGTATATACAAACATGTTTATAGCATCTGTTTTTGTAGTGGCAAAGAATTAGAGCCTATCAGTTGGGGAATGGCTGAACAAGTGGTATATGATTGAGATGGAATATACAGTATTTTAAGAAATGCTTAGCAAGAGGCCTTTTAGAAAAACCTGGAAAGACTTACATGAACTGATACAAAGTGAATTGAGCAGAACCAGGAGAACATTTTACACAGTAACTACAACCAACTGTTAATGATTTAGCTATTCTCAGCAATGCAGTGATCAAAGTTCTGAAGAACTTACAATGAAAAATTCTATTCCACCTCCAGAGAAAGACCTGATAGAGTCTGAATGCAAATCTAAGCATACTTTTAAAAACTTCCTTTATTTTTCTTGTTTATTTGGTTTTGGTCTGTGTTTCTTTCACAACAGGACTAACATGGAAATATCACATGACTGCATATTATAACCTAATATCAAATTGTTTAACCTCTAATAAGAGGAGACGAGGGGAAGAAGGAAAAGTACTGGAACTCAAAATTTAAAAAAAAAATGTTAAAATTTGTTTTTACATGTAATTGGGAAAAATAAAATGTTTTTTTTAAAAGATTGAGTTTAGGAGAGACAGGTCAAAGGAGTCAATAGAGTTCTGAATGATAGATGAAGTCTCCCTGGAGCCATTGATATTTGAAAAAGCTGACTCCTAGCATGGC